AGGTGTTGGATTTACTGTCAGGTCTGTCTGTTTCCTCTTCCTGTTTTGTCTGCTGTGTGGAGTTAGTGTCATCACACTCGCCTGTGTCTCTGTCTTTAGTCCCACTCCTGTCAACTGGTGCCCTGGGTATTTATACACCTCTCTGCCTCACTCTGTCTTTGTGGGATCATTGTTTGAGTCAGATCTTGGTGTGGCCATGTGGTGGAGAAGTTCATGTTTTGGAGAAGGCTGGGCCTTGTAGTTTATGCGGTATTCCTGTGACCAAGTGAGTTTTTGTTGTTTTGGTACTTTGAAAATAAACCTGCAGCACCTGAAGAGAGTCTCCTTTGTGCTGCGTTTGAGTCCTGCCTGCTTCCTGCTATGCTAGCATGTAAAATTTTCAACCCAAAAAATGTCAAGAGCTTTAAGGCATCTCAAACAGATTTAACAAGTTCTATCGTTATGTCAGCATCGAGCCTGTTTGCAGCTTTGCTACAGTTTCTGATGGAAATGTTGCTTTGAGCTGTTTGTAAACATAAATGAAGGAAATGAAGGGGAAACGCTTGTAAGCAGTGCAGGAAATTACTTTAATTTCCCTGATAATATTAAGGCTGCTGTAAATAACCACTTCTTTCAAACAATTTACACAACCACAGATTAAATAAAGATATGTTTGTATTCACACTGCATCAGTACTGAAGTGTTTACACAAATGTTTAATATGAAACCCTAAATGATCCACTTTCAGTGCATTTTTGCAAGAAAATGTTCCATTAACTTAAATACAGTGTTTGGCAGCATACCACAGCAGAGTGTTCTGTCCTGTCACAATAAATGTTTTATTAAATTTAAAAAAAAATGAATGTAGTCAGGAGAAATCTCTAAGTGCTGCTGAATGGTCATAATGTCTGAATCCTGGTATGCTTTAGAAACTGCAGTGATGGACTTGGACTACTTTAGGAAATGAATGCTACAAAAAAAGCAAGAACAAGTTCCTTCATATTGTGGTCACAGTGTTAACACCCACTAGTTTGATTTCAAACGCTATTCTATAAAAAATATCACAGGGCGGTCAAACCCATACTGTAAGTGTTTTTCTTTAAACCCAGGTCATGGTGCTGTGATAAATATCTGTGGTTGATGATTCCAGATCAACAGCTGTTGGTTCCCAAATGGCTAAGATGAAAAAGACTACAGGATGAGAAGAGGGAAACCAGCTTGTGTTTGAGGCTGTACTCTGTGTGTCTAGTATGGGCCATGAGGTATTTGCATATTTGTGAAGGTACCATTAATACAAATGCTTATGTGAGAAGTTTTTTAACACACAGGTCTTTGTGATGACGTCATTCCCCAAGGAACTCCAGAGATTTATCGGGATGACAATGGCACTCGTTCTGCGGAAATTGCAGAAGCGTGACTTTATAGAGTGTGTTCACTTCATGGCTCGGCCTGCAGTCCGAGTTTGACTTTTAGTAATAATATAGGGAACATTATCAGGGTGGAGGAAGAGTTGGTCCTACTTTGTGAAAGTAATTAAGAATATATCTATATATATATATATATATATATATATATATACACACACATATATATATATATATATATTATGGTCTGTATTGTCATTGTACCACGAGAATCCAACGAAACTGAGCCTCTGCTTTTAACCCATCACCAAGGGAAGCAGTTGGCAGCTTTAAGTGCCCGGGGAGCAGTGTGTGAGGACGGTGAAATGCTCAGAGCACCTCAGTGGTAACTTGGCAGCTGTTGGATCCAAACCTGATGCCTTCCGGACCCTGCCTCTGCTTCCTTAACCACTATATTAAGTTGTCGATGTCGTTAAAAGTCCAGTTTTACATTAATTGGTAAACTTTGTTAAATAAAAATTAAATTTAAAATTCTTAGTTCAGTAGCTGGCAGTTGATGGGGGAGCTTTAAGTTTTTACCCCTCCATGTTTCTGTGTGTTATAAATGGTGGAAAACAAAAACGGCGTCCAGTCCAGTCTTGGCAGTCCTCTGCAGGATCCTTTGACTCCTACGGTGGTAGAATTCTCCCTCCACTAAGTGCTATTTAGCTAAATAATTGATGTCTGTGTGGTTAAAAAAGAACAAGAAAAACAAAAGGCTAATAAAACAAAATTACCAGCTAAGCAAAAAAAAAACAAACAAAACACCTTCTTTTCCCCCCTCTAAACATAATGATTTACAGTTTGCTGTATACACAGAGCACTGGCACAGTAATGTACTTAACATATAGCAGTTGTTTTAATTGTGCTTACTCTGCCCAGGGTTATGGTCTGTTGTAGGCCTGTGGTGCCATTAAATGGGCCATTTTAGCCCATATTTATCAGCCCTCAGGTTTGATGTCATTAACCCTGACTACCCTGCAGAGCAATTTGTGCCTCTGTAAGTGATGACTGCTGTTGACTAGTTTGCATTCAGCAGTTTCCTCTTCTTCTTCTGTTTTTCTTTTTAATTTAATCTTTGCTTTACATAAACAAAGACGTCTGCACTCAGCAGCACTGCGGTGTTTGAGGAGAGAAAAACTATACCAACAATGTCTTGTACACTTTCTTATCATGCAAGCACCACTGTAGATGGCGCCGTGTGGCTGGCACGGGTGAGAAAACACAGTGTCAGGCTGTGTCACCCTCACTTCTCGAGCAAACCCACTTTAATGCATCAGTGGGAAAAACAAGCAAGGAGACGCTCTGCTCAGTGACAGGAAACAGTTGTGTTCCCATTGTTGTTTGTTATTTACACTCCTGCTCCTGACATTATATTTCACTGTTTGTGATCTTGGACTAAATTAGCAATTTACTGACAGACTGGTTTTCGAAATTGGTCAAAAGGAGAGAGTTTAAGTAAACACCAGGAAACATTTTGATACACAAGAAGCCCGTCCTAGGCAGTTGTGACTAAATGGTTGGATTAGTGTTCAGTGGCTGTCCTGATCTGGCTCAATGGCCATGACAAATGACAGAGAGATACAGATTGCTGCAGTCGTTTATTAAACTAAAGGGAAAGTCCTTTACCAACTTTGTTATTCTTGCAATTCTTTCACATCATGTCTTGTAACCGCTCACCCTAAGACAGTCTTTTTCAATGTTGAGGTCAGGGCCCCACATGCGGTATCCTGGAATTCAAAGGGGGTTTGATAGGATGGCTAACAGTAGCAGTTAACTAAGTAAATAAATTATTTTAAAAGCCCTCTAAATAAAACTAGATCCAAAGCCTACAGCAGCAAAGAGTGTTGTAGGAGTTTTTTTTTAGTTTTTTTTTAATAATGTGACTGACACTGACAGGGCTTTTCAGCTTAATTACATTTCCTATAATAATGTAAATAATGTTAAAAGTCAGTATTATCACAGGAGCAAATGACTCACAGGTATTTAACATGGTCTAATCGTCGTCCCCTGGAAAACCGTTGAGACACTCCAGCACCAGCTCCAGTAAATGCATGATTATTGAAACAACCAAAACCGTATCTTTCATGTTAGGTATTAACACTAGTTGAATTTGTGGCCTTTAGTAAAATAATAGAAGAAGAACTTAATTGATCCCGTGCTTGGAAAATTCTTGTTACCAGCAAATCTGCTGAAACAGAATTTGTTGTTTTTTTAGGCACATATTGAACCTTTTGTTTTGTTTTTTGTTTTTGCAATAAACAGTAAAGTGTTTATCTGTGAATGCTCCAGATGAGACTAGTGAATCTGGGTTTAATGATCCTGATGATGTCTGTCAACACTATGGAGAACTGTCACACTAGTTGGCAGATCTTCAGTGTGTTTACCACTCAGTGCCGCAGCTTCTCCTAAACACACTTTGTTTGTGCTCAGACTGTGCTAACACTTCACTGACGTTGATTGTGTTGGTGTAAACCCCGTGTTCAAGGAGGACATGTTTTATTTCTTATGTAGGAAATACCAGTGTTTTAAGGTCTTTGACCTTTCTGAAACACTGATGACCTTCTGTAAAGGGCCAGCTCTGTCCCAGGTGTCTTGGAATTCAGGTGCCTAATTAATCTTCCCTGGAAATACAATCCTCCACTATTTCCCAATGTTCTTGTCTGCAAAGACTAAATTAGAGATGCTGAGAAATGTTCTTTACTCTATATTGGTCACTTTGCTCACTGCTGCAAAATCAGTCGCATGACCCCTACCTCAACGTCTATGTGTGTGTGTAATTAGTTTGCAACATTTTCAAGCAAATATCAGACAACTTATTATCAACATCTCTTCAAAAGAAGTTGGTATCTTTGAAGAAAAATCTAACCGCAAACACGTACGTGAATAAACCTATAGATTTATAATTTAATTTAATTTAAAATATTGTAACTTGTTGGGGTGTGCGTACTGTGTATATGCTGTGTGTTATTGCTAATATTGTTCTTGAAATGAGTGTGTTCCACTGTTTACTCCATTTTCCTGGGTACATTAAATGCACCATGATGTTGTTCATCTGAATTATGTCCTGTGCTGTCATTAGGAGCATTATGGCTTAGAACTGCTGTAAGTGTGTGGTCAAGTTCAGCTCAGCGGTAAGGCCGTGCGCTGTGGCCAACAATAATGTCTGCTGAATCAGCTAAAAATCAACAGTATTGTCAAAAAAAAGAACAATAAGCTGCCTAAGATTCATATAAACTCTCCACTACAATATATTTATAATATAATTGAACTTATGTCAACACTAACTAATATATTGCCTTTTTAGTAAAGGTTTGTGCCGTTGAGATATATAAAAATAAAAATAAAAAAAAACACCTACCAAAGGCCAGTACTTTTTTCATCAAAAATCCTGCTACTTTAAAATAAAGGTCAAATTAGTGACTTTAATTTGAAACCATTTTCACTTCATATTCTGAATCTCAGAGGTGACCTAGACAAACTGCCGGACGTTTACTCTAAATGAAGGCCAGACAAGTATAAATGTGTTTTATAGATTAAAGGTGTGTTTCGCTTCAGAATACCAAGAGTAATGAGCATCCTGATAACTTAAAACTAATTCTGTATTTTTAACTACAGGGTCAATATTATGTCCAACGGCAACCTTCGCATATGGAACGCAACCAAATCTGATGCTGGCCTCTACACCTGTATGGCAAGGAACCAGTTTGGAACAGCAAGCAGCACAGGAAGTGTCACAGTCAAAGGTACTTCCTCTTCTCACTTCACCCATTATGCACTCACGTAATAGCTTGATCTGTGGCCAGTAAAACAAAGACATTATTTAACATATTTTATTCACTATTTTTCCATTTCTTTCTTTTCCTTTTTTTTTTTTTTTTGCTGCTTAGCAATTTGTTAGTGATGTATTGGCTTTTTTGTATGGTATAATGAATGTTACCATGGAGAAAATGAACAGCCAGTTCAATGATCTCATCCCGTTATTAATACACTTTTAGAGAGTCACGAAGAAAAGAACTTTTTTGTTCTGCTTTTGCTTAACAGACACAGACACGTTTGTTGCGTTGTCTGTTTTTTTTTTAAAGCCTCCATTACTGTTTGAGAGTATCCTGTGAAAAAAAGCGGTCTCAGTGTTGTTAGATCATGTGGGCTGGGGATTGCGTTTCTACCCCAGCACGGTGAATTATTATACTTCATTAAAAATGAATGTGAGCTGGGTATAAACCGCTGTGGATTGAGTGGCCTTATTCTGTGCACACTGCTGTTTTCTGTCCTGTTTCCACAGGGGGATGGTGTTATCACCCTTCCTCCTGGTGTATTTGCTGATAGACTCAGTGAACTATAGCCTCACTATGACCTCCCAGTTCAGAGGAGTAGTTTCATGGTTCATGTCTGCAAGTGTTATTTATTCTGCTGTGATCGTCCTTGTCTGTGAACTTGTGTAGATTTATTAAATTATTGATTGGCGCTTGGTATAAAAGTTCATGCCTCCCATTTCAAAAAGGTTTTGTGTGTACAAGTACTGTGGCTATAAACAGGTTGTTTGACTCATCGTGTATTGTTTGAATACCAAGAAAGTCTGTGGTACTTTTACTTTTATTTGGCCTCCTAGAATGACAGCAGTGAAATGGCTACACTTGGGCTGTCAAATGGTTAACTGTTTTACTGTGAACACAAGACCATACAGCGTAATATTTGTTTGCATATAAATCTGTCAATCTTTCACACGATGAATTGCTCCAAAGCAGTATTTTATATTGTGTTCTCTTTCAGAGGTTTAAAGATGGATTTTCTTTTTCTTAGCTAATGATTATTTTCGTTCAGACATTTTTTTTCCTCCTTCTTGCCTTTCACTGTATAGTCACACTCTATATGACATACAGCACATGGCCGAGTTGTTAGTTTTTAGGGGGAAAAGCAAACAACTAAAGTATCTGAAAAAAGTATGGGTTTTTTAGGTGTCTTTGTTTTCTTAAGATACTGATTTATGAATGTTTTAAAGTCAGTACCGGTTAAGCAGAACCTAAAGTTCTCCTCAGAGAGTTCAGCCCTGCCCTTTTACATCCACTTCCTGTATCACGGATGTTGGAACAGAAAACACACACACACACACACACACCATATCCTATCAGAACACCAGAGAAGAAGGACCAGTCCAACCATCTTTTGCTTTAGTTTCAGGTCAATAGTCAACTTGTGATTTTCCAATGGATCTGCAACAAAACAAACCCCCATGTCCTCTCGGCAGGAAATAACAGTGGGATTTACCCAACAGTCATTTTCTCTCTTACCTTTCTCTTTCTCCCATTTATTATTTCCTCTCCCTCATTGTCACTGGTATTCGTACTGCTGCTTATAAACCTTGAGACGCCGCACGTGATCTTGTGCGTTTTGTCTGAGTTGATCATGTTAAAAAAATGGGACAGGGCTAATTTACATGTGGTGTGTTGTAGAGAATTGGAAGTGTGTGAATCTTGGAGAAATGTGTGGCGTATGCGATTCGACAGCAGTTTATTCAAATCGGCTCTGCTAATATGAACACTGAAAAATACCTGTCAGAAAGCATTTGCCTTCACCCGCTGAGAAAGAACCACCCCGGCAAACGAGCACTTGGGCCGTCACAACAGATGAGGCAGAGTTAATGTCTCCATTATTCCAACACTCGGGGTGATATTAGCAGATTAATTGCGCTCGATTACAGACTTGCTCCCTGAATTTTGATTACACTGGAGACTGGGTGTTGCAATTAGGGCTGCTGCCCATTATTACAGATGGCCGTCGAACTCCCAACTTCAGACAGCATCGCACCATGTTCACTGCTGATTGCCTGTGTAAACCCTGAGGGCAAATTTAGCATAAGAAACCTCGCTGCAGCTCGTCTATCCCCGAAAAGAGCTTTTATTCTAGAGGTTCTTGTACTATTGTGTTTCCTCTGGCAACATGACACGATTCATCCCTGGTACAATGGCAGCCTGACTCTGTGTTGAAATGACAAAGCCTTTATCCTCCCACTTTGGTTGTAGACTGAGAAATATCAGCCACTGTTTGACAGAGTGCTGTGACATTTTGTTCAGACATTAATGATCCCCAGAGGATGGATTGTGATAACGCAGATGATCCTCTAACTTTTTGAGAGCTATTATTAGGTCAGAATTTGAATTCTGTTTTACGATCACATACTGGCAAATGTAATGACATTCCCACGAGGCTCAAATATACTTTTTTTTTTTTAACTTCTAATTAGAGCACATGTGGAAGAAATGAAGCAGGAATTTTCAGTTGCAGAGGCTGGACCAACACTTGTTATTTGAAGCTTTTGTGACCTGCAGCAGATATTTCACAAGTTGAGAAAGTTAAAAATGGAACTGAATTATTCAGCAATGGCTCTAATTGACTTCCTATCCAATTATTTTTATGCATATTTTCAAAAATGTACAAAAGATTCTCTTGTTTAAGACAAAGACATATACAGTATAGTACTTGGACACAGCCTCTAAGTTCTGTTAGCCAAGTAGCATTCATTCACATATGCCTTGTGATTTTATGGCCTTACTTTAAAAGATTGTTTTCCAAACACTGGGCCATGAGGTGGCTCGCAAGAGGGTCGTGATGTCTATTGACTTGGGTCACGAAGGTTTGTGACTTTTAAAATATGGGTCCCCAGAAAAAAACGTTTGGGAAACACTGCTTTAAACAAGGATACCCAAAGTATGGTGTGTGCGGAAGCTGCCATTAGGGGTTTCCTAAGATTAAAAATATGACTTGAACATTTTCTGTAAAATTTAAAATCATGTCATTTTTACAAAAAAATTATAAAATAAAATCAATACTACTACGGAGATGGAGGCTGACGCTCCACAATTTTGATTAGTCTCCACAAATTAATTAACTTGATTAATATGTTACATTTGGCAGAATTAATAGCCAATATGATGTTGAGTTTACATTAGCAACACAGAGTTTTAGTAGAGCAGAGTTTTACAAATATTGAAAACCAAATTAGATCAAACACTGAGCAGGGACTTTGGAGCCTTTGAATATCTTCAGTTTCAATAGTCACTCTACATTCTAGAAGGACAACAGTACTTGCTAGTGTGGTGTAAGTATTTAAAATACACACCCTCAGCCAGAATTACTATACATCAACAGAGTTCATTAATTGAAACTGCTTGTTACTCAGCTAAACTACACTCTTGTGGCTTTGGTGGCAATGCCTCCTCGACTGCAAGACTCTGAAGTATTGTGAAATAAAAAGAAGTAATATATATCTCTGCTATCCCATTATATTTGACTTTTGAAATAATAGTCCGGCTGGTGCTTCCGGCATTTTTTTTTTTTTTTTACAGAGACTTTCTTCCATCTCACTGCAGGTAAGAAGACATTAAAAGCAAAAAAATGCTTTAAATGCTTAAAATTTCCCAGTTTTATAATCAAGCTTTCTAATGTATTTTTGCCAGAAACTTCTTTGTCAATGTCAGATGCCAGCAACAAGTTGACACACAGCAGTTGTCAATGGCTGTCAGCTATACAGAAAAAAAAAATAATGAGGAGCCATCTGTCTGTGATTAGCCGGCTGCCACAGATCTGCAAGTGCACAGCACATGAATACAGTAATCAAAGCATCTCGTATGTATGAGCGAGTGATGTAAACAAGGTCTTCCCTGCTGTTGGAGTTTGTCCTTGAGAGACCGTTTGGTTTGGTCCTTAGAAAGAGTGCCATTGGGAAAAATGTGTCAAAGAAGCTTGTTATGTGCAAATGGAATCGTTCACAGTAGATTAATGGTTTTGAAGCAAGCTGAGGTAAAATAGAGGAGGCCATGATTTTCTTTTATTTGACTCATTCTGACTCTGAGAAGAATCTATAGATTGTGCTTATAATTGAAGGGCTCCTTTTGTGCAGAACAGAATGAGATGCACAATGTGAGAGCCAGTTATCTTCACTGTAGTGTACAGGTCGAGGATCTTAGTCATTCACAAGATGTATGGAATATTTCAGAGAAGGCTTTTGACCTTCTGTTGTTAAGTCATTTCTCTCACAAATTCTTCGTCTTCATCCCTATCCTTCAGCCGTACATCAACATGAGTCCTGGTTCAGGTGGTTGTAGAGGAGAAGCATTGCTCTGGCAAACTTGTTTTAAAAGTTTCTTCTGTCCTGTGCTACATACCTTAACATCATGTATGATGCATATTGAAATCTATACATTCACACAAGAAGAACTCACATTACAGCTTACCACCATAACAGTGGAGATGTTAGGGCATGAGGGTTGAGGACGATTCATGGTAGAGGATGTCTGTGATAAATCTGATATATGATATACATACCAGATGCCAGACATTTGTGTTGCCATTTCACCATTGAATAAAATTGCCAGTTTTAGCTCATCTGTAGTATCAGTATCAGAATCATCTTTATTGGCAAAGTATGAAAGCTCACAAAAGGAATATGAGCCAGGTTCCTCAGCCACTCTCATCTGCTTTAAATGGATGAATTAAATCAAAACACACATGACAGTGGTTAGAAGAAGAGATAAATTGCACAATGATTTAGCAGAAACGATCGATGAGGAGGAAAAACTCGGTTCAGTAGACTAGATTACATTTTTTTGTATTCATTGCATTCATTTAAAGCAGACTGCGTGATGAATATATTTGATATACTAGACATTTATGGGGTTTTTTTCGAACAGATTCCACTGTATATATCTTTAGGTTAGGGGTGGCTGAGATTTTTTAAATTACCTCACAGCTATTAATACATTTTTTTAAACACAAGAGCCTAGAAAATGGTAAACATGAATACTTCACATTCTGTAGGTAAATGTTTTTTTTTTTTCAAACCTTCATGAAACTTATAAAACTTATAAAACAAAACAAAATGTTTGACTTTCCTGTTCATTGCTTTGAAACATAAAATGCAGGGCTGGTTATTGATGTTAAAAAGCACACATTTAACCATGCCTTTGTAGATTCCGCTCTTGGTCGTTTACTGCCTTGTAAGTGTAATCTAGAAAACGCCAATAAGTGTTTGAACCAACTCAGCAACACTCCCCCTAGACGCCGAGCAGGCTGCCTGGGCCCGTTTTTCTCTCTGATTGACCTCCCACTAAGTGAGTGGGTTAGAATGCTCTTGTTTACTGTGGCACTAGGTAACAAGGCCTTATACGAGACGAAGAGCAATCAAATTATGGTCAGGAGGCCGCAGTGTTGTTGTGCAACCAATCTGCTCGTCCATATAATCTTTCACAAATGATGACAGAGGAGGGTGATCAGTGACTATTTCCACTGTCGTGGTTACTGAAGGTCTATGGAGGCAGATGGAGTCCAGGCAGTTAAAAAAAAAAAAAAAACCAACACAGTAAGGGAGATGAGCTCATGAGCACAGAAAGACAACAATAAAAGGACTAACAGAGACCCATGAGAAAACTTTTCTAATACCAATTATTTACAAACCCATATCTGTTCTTTCCTTATTCTGTATAGAGCACAATACTTCTAGTACTTCTGTGTTAGTACTGCAGACTATTTAACTGGCAACAATAGTCACGTGGTTTTAGGACAAACCCAACAACTGATGGCTTTGCACAGTGATGTCAGAAAAACGACTGGATAAATCAGATGGGGAGCACTTAATTTGGATTTGCGTGTGTGTGTGCATGTGTGTGTGCATGTGAGCCTATGAAGGACCAATGCAATAAAGCTATTGAATTCACTCTGAATGGAGACTGCACTGTTGGCACTTTCTCATTAATCTATGCTCGTCCAAAAATCATTTGCCATGGTTAATTTAGACAGTGTAGCCTGAGAGGCAATTCAAACCAAGTAATCACAGCACCCCCAAGAGGAAACCAGGTGTCACACACCCGGAGCCTCTTTTCTGTCTGTTCTACCTCCCACCTTTATTTCCCCACGCGCATCACATGAGTGCAGGTGAGGGACACTGAGTGCGTATTCCCACGTGACACTAGTGAAATGAACTGCAGGACTGCAAAGGTTGTAGTACCTGGAAGAAGTGCACATGGCTGTTTACTGTTTTCCCTGGCTACTTTTGGAGATTTTTGCAGTCGTAGTGCCCAGGCTGAAGACAGAGCTGACATTGACACATGGAGTCTTCTCAGAATTCAGGATACACACGATTTCTTAGTCCCCATGGAGTCAGGCTGAGGCACAAACTAATACCAGTTATTGTAGCTGTGCACCCTGGTTTGCTGTGTGCCCTGTCTTGTATATCCTTCTATTAACTGACTCTGACATATCCATAAGGATGATGGAAGGGGTTGGCTTTTTGCAAAGCCATTTCCTGGACTGAATCATAATGCCCAGGATAGCAGAGCACAGCAGCATGTTTGAACAAATATAGATTAATGTGTGTGTGTGTGTGTTTCAGAGCCGACCATAATCACCACCCAGCCGTCCACGCTAGATGTCACCGTGGGAGAGAGCGTGGTCCTCCCCTGTCAAGTGAGCCACGACCCCTCACTGGAGCTCAAGTTCACCTGGTTTTTCAACGAGCAGCTCATCCATTTCGGGAACCACGGTGGATTTTTCGAAAAAGTCGGAGGAGTAAGTGCAGGAATTCACACAGATGTGTTTAATTTCACTGTGATATTTTCGGTATTAAGAAGTTCTGCAACTGCACAGTACAGTTCTTTTCAAATGAAACATTACATTTTTGGCAGTTCAAATGAATTAATTAATTGGAGTAATATCTGAAGATTAATCAAAGTTTTAACCCTCACCAGTGTAATGACCCACAGTGTATGTCTAATAATTCTACCTTCCATCAACTTATCCTTGCTCTAATGCACAGTTAATACACCTGTTGTTATTTGTACACACTGCTGAAACACGTGTTTGGTTCACAAAACATTTCAGGCTTAAAATACCACCTCAACACCCAGAACACATGTAGACCTCACCAGACAAGACCCAGTAGACCAGTAGATCTCAAACTTTAAAACAGTGAAAACCAGGATCGTTAAGCTCATTAGTCAGATTTATTTCATATTTATTCTGGGTAAAAACCCAAAAGTTTTCTTATACATCATGGTCAATTGATCTCCTACTCTTTTTCCCTCCTGTCATATCATTCAGAAAAGCCTTAAAGGTTCATTGACACCTTTATGTTCTAGATGACCTGTATAACTTAGCAAGTAATTAAGTAACAAGCCTCGTGTGTTTTTTTGTGTACAAAGAATGTTCATGTTATTACCCCACAGTGATCTTCAGACATTGATTCATGGTGCAACCACCCTTCGGATGTTTTATTGAATAAAGGTCAAGGGGTGACTGTAAAGATTCATTGATACGTCAGTATTGTGCTTTTCCCATCAGTTAGGCCATAATAAATTCAGCCGCAGTGCAGTGGGAGTGTTTAAATCAAGTGTATTATTTATGGCTGGAGAATTGCTGCCGGTTGATTGTTTGAAACTAAAATAACACATACACTGTAGTTGCAACTAGTCTTTACACTGAGGTTTGAACTCAAGAGACACAAAGACAGGACTGGTGTTTATATACCATTTAACCTCCAAAGACTGTCTGCTCCACTCTCATGGAATTCAAATGCAGGAGTTGAATTTGCAGTCATAGATTGAAGTGCATTTTATGATATCATAATTAAAACTATGGGCAAATGTAACCTGAGGCCTACTATGTTGCTTATAACTGTTTGTGTGTGTGTGTGTGTTTTTTTTTGTGTGTGTGTGTGTGTACCTTCATGATATTTCTCTCTAAAACCTCATCACAGGGAAGTATACGTGTGCCGTGCAGACCAAGGTGGACAGTATTTCCATTGCAGTTGACCTGGTAATCAGAGGTGAGTGTGTAATGACATTAAATACATAAGATACATGTTTCAGTTTAAGATAAACATCGACAAATAGATGTGTTCAGGGGGATGTTGCACAACAGGAGAATAACAAAATCCAATAATAATATTACAAACAGTCATAATTGTGTGTATATATATGTATATATATATATATATATATATACATATATATATATATATATATATATATATAGTATAGTAATGCAGGGTGATTAAAATGATGCAACATATATAGGGATACCATGGTCATGCTAGAAAAACACAATCAAAAACAACACATTTTTCTCAGAAATGACAGTAGAAATACTAGTCATTCATTAGGATTACTCTTAGCCTTGCTAACAGTTAGCCTGTGGAGAGCAGGCTAGCTACAGAGAATAAACCACCATAGTAACCTGGGTTATGTTTGTATAAGCAAAATGTTGTCCTTGTCTTTTTGTGTAATACCCCCTCTACCCACCACAGCATTAATTGATATTCAGTATAAAATATTGTATAAAATAAGTAATACTATTGCAAATTTAAATAACGTTCTATTTATAATCCATTTTAAAGCTTGAATTAATATACTTTATTTTATTTTGGAGACAAATCTTGTGGTATTAATTTCCATACTAGTAAATGATGCTAACATGACTTGATATATAACTTATTCTTTGTTGAAAAATAAATGCAGAGAGCAGAAAAAAGATATACTGTATATTCTTACAATTATTGAAAACATAATGTCTAATTAGCCCGTGTAGCTCCCATAGGTTTGACACTGAACTGACATTAGCCGCAGGGTGCTAAATCGGTCGCTGCATTTTCATGTCCACCTGATTTACATATACTTTCCCATGCTTTTTTTCTCCGACTCTTTTTCTGCCTTCCTCCTCTCCTGCTTTCCCCGCTGTGCCATCATTCAGGTCCCCCAGGGCCTCCTACCAGCATCTACGTCGAAGAAATCAGCGATACCACAGCTTCTCTGTCCTGGAGGCCTGGTCCTGATAATCACAGTCCAATTACAGCATATACCATCCAGGCCAGGACACCATTTTCCCTCGGGTGGCAGGCTGTCACCACAGGTAAGCTTTCTCCAACCAGCCGTGGCCTCCTCCAATTACACGGGGGGGGGGGGTCTCCTTTTTTATACTGCCTCGCCAGTGACCATATTGCAGATGTAATTTTTACCCTTGCACCAAAATGGTCCAAAATTCCACTATGACCCCTGACCTCCATTTATTCAGACTCCAGGGAAACCTTAAACATGTTTGTCATTCTTGTAATAGAATTCAGAGTGGAAAGTGTGAGTTGGTGTTAGCATTGTCCCAATGTTTAGTCGCATCAGCAAATAGGCTGTTAGGCATCCGTGCATGAATGGTATAATGGGCTTTTATCCTTCTCTGTGTGTCCTGTTGTCGAGACATTTCTGTTATTTTGGGACAATTTGAATTTGTTTAGTATGTCAGCCTCATAGCTGACATACACTGTGACTTACATGGAAAACCTGCAAAAAAATGCTTAACAATTTTAGAACAGTGGAATTCTGGTAGTTTCAATTCAGTTCAAGACAAAGTAGAAACAGGCAAAAAAGACATTAACTTAAGTCACTGAAGTTTTTTTCCCTACCCTTGCTGAGGGTCTAAGGACAGAGGATGTTACCAACCCTGTTAAGCCCCGTGAGACAAAACTGATTTGTAAATGTGGGCTATATAAATAAAAATTTGATTGATTTGATTGAAGTATGATGACAGCATTGTGACATCATTGGTGGTAAAGTTTTAGCAGGCCTGTCCACCTGGAGAAAAGTTAAGTTTTTCGTACTAAAGTGGTGTTCTGTTTCTCATGCCAGTTCCTGAGGTGGTGGGGGGCAACCGGCTGACAGCTACAGTAATAGACCTGAGCCCTTGGGTGGAGTATGAGTTTCGAGTTGTGGCGAGCAACACCATTGGGACCGGAGAACCCAGCAAGCCATCCAAACAAGCAAAGACAAAGGGAACCAGTACGTAAATGAATGCGTACAAAAAGGCTCCTGTTGCTTGTGTACTGTTTTATGATTATTCTTCTCAGTTCATTGTCGCCCCACCTACAGTCACATCAACAGTTGCAGTCTAAAGACTAGTAACTTGACGTAGTTTCTTGCGCTGAAAAACCTGGAGAATTTCTTTTACAGACTCAGACCTAAAATTAATTTTATCACCATGATGACCAAAATTAGACCATAGCAGAATAGGCCTTCCCTATTAGCTTCCACCACACAGGAGAGATGTTTATGAAGCTGTTTATGTTTAAATGTTGTGTACAACAGTGCATGGTATGTTTCAGATTTATTCAATTGAAAATGTAAATGTGAAAATATGAATTTTCCCCACGTAACACTAGAGAGTGCTGGGTACGTGTACCACAGATTGAGAACCACCGATCTAATTGATAACTAAATGTTTTAACCAGCTCAGAAGACAGGCTAACGATGCGATAAATTATTTCAGTTATTTATTAAGTTCCATCTGGAACACGTTTGAAAAGCAGATTTTATTCTCGTCTGAAATTGCAATTGGTTGTACGTTACGTGTTTCATTAGCGTCTCTGTGACATCGGACTCTATGAATGGTTGACAGCAGCTGATAACGCACAGTGTTTTTCAGACATGTCAAATATAAAGATGCCTCATTGAAGGTGATCACATGCTTTCTCTGTGTTGTGCCACTTCTGCACAGCTAAAACCAATCTCTCTCTTTTTCTTCCAGCTCCCAAGGTCACACCAGCCAACGTGAGTGGAGGCGGTGGCAGTCGCTCTGAATTAGTCATTACATGGGAGGTGAGCAAGCTCACTCAGTCAGGACTCCCCTCATCCGTGCAGACGGGAGCCAGACGCCATTATTCTCTGTGGATCTGTGCGGCTGCTTCATTAATAACAGCTGAACAGCCTAATGTATGGCATTTCATTTTTAAGAACAGAGAGGCAATAAGTGCTGCTGTCACCCTGAGGAAGAGAAATGCTTCAGAGATTTCACTGAGATAATTAAAGTCATTGGCTTCTTCCAAAGAAACAACTTTATTTTCTTTAATCATTCATTGACTTATTCATAATTTCTTTCGTTCCTTGCTTTCATTCATTCTCAATTCCATTCTTTTTCTTTTGTCGTTCCCTCTGTCCTTCTTTCCTTCATTCATACTATGTTTTCATTTCTTTCTTTCCATTTCTTCCTGTATCTTTTTCTCTTGTATGCTGTGAGACGTATCTTAGGATAGATAAACACTGTATTCTTTCTTTCTTTCTTTCTTTCTTTCTTTCTTTCTTTCTTTCTTTCTTTCTTTCTTTCCTTCTTTCTTTCTCCTAATCCTTCCTTCTCATCTACATTTATTTACACAGACTCCTAAAAACCCCTCAGTCCCTGCTGTGGGAGAATCTTAATTACCAAACACAGGAGTGTATTATAGTCTACCTTCTGCTTAACAAAGCTGCTATTCCCTGCTATGGCTTATTTTTTATTTAGCTAACTGTATACCAAAATGTGAAGGTTTTTATTAACTCAAACCTCACTGTTGTTCAGGAATAAAAGTTAAAAAAAAAAACATTATGTTAATCTCTACCTTGGCCTTTGCTTTATTTCTCTGTGGTCGCATGAAATATTGGAAGATCTGCAATTATATCGCAATATTCCAATAAAAATGATGGTTTTATGGTTCTAATGCTTGACATGAAAATGCATAGGGAATACAACAAGAAACCGTGTACTGTTACTGTAACTTTTATTCACACTGAATAGGAAGCAGATGCATCAATTAGCCTAATAGCAATCCACAACTAGCGACAAAGTGGTGAGTTAGTTTCTATAACAGAATAGAGTTAATCTTTGAAGAATACAATGACTAAATGATTTAAGGCACCAAAGCATAAGACTGGTTAGTCTTGCCAAGATGGCTCGTGAATTTACCCAACGTTTTCCACCAACTACTTTTCTCTTGGCTACCTGTTTTGGTCATTTGTTAAGAATGAAGGAACTGGTTGGCTAGCTCACCTGTTGTAGCACGGACACTGTCTACATAAGCCTGAAAAAGCCATGTTAAAATGTGTCTGCATAGTAACTTAAATTTGACATTTCAACTTTTATTTTTATGTCATGTAATTTATGCAAATGTTTGAATGTACACCGAAGTATTCATTTTTTATTTGTTATACATTTTTGAAGTTAGCCAGACTCAGGTCCAAGACATAGATATAAGCAGTGTTTTTGTTTTTTTAAACAGCCCTAATTGTTTTGCAGCCTGTTCCAGAAGAGCTGCAGAATGGACCAGGATTTGGGTATGTTGTGGCATTTCGACCACACGGTGCCACAGGTTGGATGCAAGCCGCTGTGCCATCTGCTGACGCTTCAAGATACGTCTTCAAAAATGAAAGCATACAGCCTTTCTCGCCTTTTCATGTGAAAGTTGGGGTTTACAATAACGAGGGAGAAGGACCCTTTGGACCCATTACCACCATCTACTCTGCTGAGGACGGTACGTGTACTTTCATGTCTCTGTTTAGAGGAGCTCTTTGTAAACACTGTCAACCACTGAATGCTTAAGCAGCAATAAAATAAAAGTAGATGTCACCTTCAGTGTAACTTACACTTTTAAATAGTGTAACAGTTACTTTTAAAAAGTAATTAGTCATGTTTACCAGTTACTTCTCCCAAAACTAACTGACTTAGTAACTGAATTACAAAACTATAAAAGTTACAAGGGAAAGTAAGGATTGCGTTACTTTTTTTAGGTTTATATATGTCTAGTAATTAGAATTTTTTTCTAAGCTGGTTTCACAAGCTAGAACTGCTTTTCACAAATTTCACATAATTATCCCTAAACTAAAAAACAATGAATATTTTTATGGTTGAAATTTAGGAGAAACGACTTTTTTGGTATGTCAACCATTGACCACAATAATATGTTATTTGAATAAAATTCTGAAAAAGTCTTCAAAAAAAAGTTTTATCAAAACTGCCTAAAAATACACTAATTTGCCTTAAAATATGTAGCTATATTCATTTTTGTGGTTGAAATTCAGAAAAAATATACTTTTTTGGTACGCCAACGTTTGATCACAGTAAAATACTATACCAATAAGTTCCTGAACAAATCTTCAAAAATAAAACTTTCTCAAAAATTAATATAATACACTAATTTGGCATCAGATACTTAGCTGTGTCCATTTTTGTTGTTAAAATTATGAAAAATATACTTATTGGTAAGCCAAATTTTGACTTGTGTAATATATTACACTAATAAAATTCAGAAAAATTCTTCATAAATAAAAGTTTCTGAAACACTAAGTAAAAATATGCTTGTTTTGGTGATATTTTAAAATATACAAATAAAATATTTTTTGGTGTTTTTAGCACAACTTATTTACTTGGCAGCATAATTTATGGCATAACCTATGGCATTTTGAGGCATTTCTGGGACTT